TAACTTGTTGCCTCTTCTTGTCTCTTCTTCTTGCCTCTCATACTGGCCCCAGGCTCCCACCTGGGCCTCAGCCCCAGGAGAAGACACCTCCAGGCTTCCCGCCCTTGAGCCAGGGATCACCATCCCATTCCCCAGACCCAGCTGCTGAGGGCAGGTCAGCTCTGGACTGCTGCTCCCCAGCCCTGCTTCCCAGCCCGGGCTGCACCCACCTCGGTCACAGAAGGGCAACGAGGGAGCCCAGGTCGCGTCAGCCTGGCACCGGGTCGAGTCCTGGCCCCTGAGCACGTACCCAGAATCACACTCCAGCCTCACCAGGGTCCCCACTGTGTAGTCATTTTTACTGTTAAAAATCTCTTTTGCATGAGCAATGTCTGGCCTCGGGCAGCGAGGTTCTAGAAGCAGTGGGAGAGAAAGAACATCAGCTGCTTTCAGACAGAGCTCTCTGTGGAGATGACAGAGCATCTGAACCCTGAAAGAAAAGGTGACTCTCACTGGGACACAGATCTCAACACTTTGCAACTCTCAAGAGATTCTGGTTTTACTTTCCCAAGGCTGGGGGGAAGGCTGGGTCTGTGCTGCCAACCAGAGCTCACCCCCAGAGCTCAGCACTGTCACCCCGGGGCTGCTGCCCCTGCTTTCCCCCTGAGCTGCCCTCATGGCACTGCTGAGCACCTCACAGGCATCCTTAGGGCCAGGACAAGGGATCAGCCAGAGGCTACTGCTGGCTGGGAGGTGGAGCAGGCCCTTTCTTCCTGGCAAGGCTCAGGCTGCTTCCAGCAGGTTGCTGATACTGCAGTGGTGCCACATTGCCAAGTAATTTGTTTCAGCAGGGTCAGATATTTATCCTGCTGACTTTTCTTGTGAGAGGGACAACATCCTGAGACCATCCCCTGCTCCCAAGCCTCATGTCAGCAAACCAGCCTAGCTGCTGTCCACAGCACAAACCACATCCCCTTCCTGCTGGGTAAATGTCTCCCAGGCTTCTCAGGAACCTCCAAAGCCTGTAAAAGCTGCCAACAACCCCCATTCCCATCCCATCTTCCTGGACACTTGATCAGCTCCCTCCCCAAACTCCACACTTTTCCTACAGCAATTCCCAGGCAATATAAAGAAACTGGATCTTTGGTCCCTATTTCTTCCCAGGTATTACAGGAGGAGTAGATGTGGGGATGCATGGCCATGGAGCATGATTCTCCCTGGCTACCACTACCAGCATCTAAGGCCAGGTGTAAATTTTTCTGCCAAAGCCAGCAGGCAGCTACGCTGCACAGAGTGACCTGAAGCTTTGCAGTCAAACAAAAGGAGTGGGCAACATGCCCCACCAGCTCTCACCTACCTCGGGTGCACTCTGGGATGGCTGGGTCCCACCTCCCCTCACTCGTACACTGCAGCACAACGGTACCACCAAGGCCTTTGAAGGCATAACCATCATCACAGGTAATTTCAAGTCTGTCTCCATACACGTAACTGTCCTTTTTTTCCCATACATACAAGGGCTTTCCATTTCTGATGTCTGGATCAGGGCAAGGGATTCCTGAGAAATGCCAAACGTTAGGAAGCGTGAAACCACGGCAAAGCCACCTGGGTGACAGCAGGTTCATTGGATGCTGACAGAGACACAACACAACACTAAAGCTGCCCCAAAGCAGTCCCTGGATGCTCCTAGGGGGTGGGAGCACTTACTCTCACAAGGAGCTGGAGTTTCAGTCCATGTAAAGTCCTGCAGACACTGGACGTGCCGCGTGGTTTCTCCCGGGCTGAACTGGTGGCCCTCCCTGCACTCATAGGTAACAACAGTGTCCACAGGAAACAAATTGCCAGCAAGTTTTGCTTTAAAAGCATTACCCACATCTGGAGGGTCCTCACAGCTACCTAGGAACAAAACAGCAATTTAGGGACAAAACTGTGGGACCACAATTTCCCCCCAAATTCTCTCTGTTCTGTTAGAGATCACGTTGTTCCTTCTGAGACACCCTTGACCATCTGAGGCCAGTAATGGTAACGAGTGAGTGGAGAGAAATGAAAACATAGGAATGACTTCAGACAGGTAATTGTCACTGTTATAATGAGACATGATTTCTAATCAAGTTTATACTATCTGAGGCTCTACCAACAAACTTTAGAAGTACCGAATGGTTAATTTAATCCCTTTAAATCTTACTGAGAAGTGCTCATCAGCTTGAATGGGACAAGGCTTTAATCTCCATGGCCTAAATTCCTGAAGTCACCTTAGTGCTACAGCAGAAAAAAACCCAACCAATCATTGAATTATATTATAGAATCACAGAATGGTTTGAGCTGAAAGGGACCTTAAAGATCATCCAGTCCCAACCCCTGCATGGGCAGGGACACCTCCCACCAGCCCAGGCTGCTCCAAGCCCCATCCAACCTGCCCTTCAACACTGCCAGGGATGGGGCAGCCACAGCTTCCCTGGGCAACCTGGGCCAGGCTCTCCCCACCCTCACAGGGAAGAATTTCCTCCTAATGTCTGAGCTACATCTCCCCTCTTCCAGTTTAAAACCATTCCCCATCATCCCATCCCTCCCTGCCCTTGTCCCAAGCCCCCTCCCCAGCTTTCCTGGAGCCCCTTCAGGCACTGGAAGCTGCTCTAAGGTTTCCCTGGAGCCTTCTCCTCTCCAGGCTTGGAGCAGAGGCTCTCATGATGCTGTAGAAGAAGGCGAAGGGCCAGGGGAGCCCGGACACTCACTGAGCTGGCAGCGGGGCAGCGGTGGGTGCCAGAGCCCCTCCTGGCTGCAGGTGGAGGTGTCGCTGCCGTTCAGGGTGTAGCGGAAATGGCAGTCGAACAGCACAGTGTCCCGGTAGGTGTAGCGGGGCCGGTACCCGCTCAGCAGCTTCCCGTGCTCCAGGCTGGGCTGCTCGCAGGTCACCACTGCCCCGGGAAACATCGTGCTTAGGGGAGGGGGAGGTGGGGGTGTAGGAAACGTTTCTGTGGCATAAGATGTGCTCAGCAAACAGGCTGGAAACGGACATGACAAGGGAGCAGCCTGACATGATATTTTTAAACTCCTTGCTCCATATTGCAGCTGCTTTTGGTGTTTTGGGGTGGGGTTTTTGTGGGGTTTGTTTGTTTGTTTTTTCTTTTATGAAGACAAAGCATAAAAAGAACATCAGGCAGTAGGTGTCACAGCCTTTGGGGATGTTGCTTTGCACAGACCAGCAGCTCAGAGGCATCTTCTGGTCCGCAAACACTATTCAAATCCCACTCCCATCTCCCTGCTGACTTGGGCACCCTGAGCAGTCCCAGTCCCTGCAAAGGGAAACCCCAATTCCTGTTGCTGCTACCAAGCTCAGAGGGTCTCATCTGCAAGAGGCAATTCCAGCAGGGTAAAGGTAGAGGCTGGGAAGCAAAAAGCAGCTCCAGCAGAGAGGGCAGTGGGGAAGGGGCTATGGCTGCTGCAGGCCCCCAGTGCCCACCTCACCTCTGCACTCAGGGGCTGGTTTGTTCCAGACACCATTTTCATGATCTGTGGTTGTACAGAAAATAGAGGCATCTCCCACCAGTGAGAAAGGACTCTCTCCCCTCCTGGCAGGGTGGCAGCGGTAGGTGACAGAGGATCCATACTCAAATTGCTCTTGGTTGGTTCCACTGTGCTCTCCATTGGCTATTGTGGGAGGGGGTGGACATGGGATTGCTGGGGAGGAAAAGGTAGAGAGAGGGAAGAACAAGAGAGGGAACTTCATTACTTTTGAACCAAAATTCTGGTAAGAACAAAGCTGAAACATGAGGTTCCAGAAGGGTCAGAATGAGGGGCAAGTCTCCAGGAAGCTGCAGACCAGCCCCCAGAGCTCTGAGCAGGTGGTCTGGGGATACCCCAGGGTTATGTGCAGCTGCCTTTACTCCCAGACAGGGAGAAAAAAATTCTGCAGGATGATGCAGGAAATAAAACCAGAAAAAAACCCACTTTGTTCCAGACTCCACCATGTGTCCAAGTGCTGAAATCCTCAGCAGAGCAGCACGACTGCCTCTCCATCCATCCCCAGGAATGCTGAAGCTGCACAGCAATTAAGGAAATCCACTCACCTTCACAGAGGGGAATATCTCTGTTCCACGTTACAGCATCATTTTTAATCACACACTGAATCTGAGAACTTCCAACCAGCCTGTACCTGTGTGAAACAGGGGAGAGGGAATTACTCAACAAACTCAGTTTTGATGTATTACCTGTAACATTACCAGCAGGATAGTTTTGGCTCCTTTATCATAATTACAGGTGACAAACTTGCCATCAATATAATTTTTTTCAATAACACTGGCTTTTGAGAAAAGCACTTTTTAAATGAAAAGAAATTACATGGTTTATCAGGAAAAATATCTGCTTTATCAGCCAGCTGCAGCTACCACCACAGCTCTGAGCTCAGTATTGATGCCTTTTTTTAAAAAAAAAAGATGCTGAAACATTGGAAGTAATTTTGAAAGGGCCAGGAGGGTGAACTTGTATTTGGGAAGAACTGCCTCAAGGTGTGAGATGAAGACAACTCAGTTAGCCTTAAAGCTCTCAGAGGAAAGCTAAAAAGAGATTCCAGTCACAGTCTGCAATTGCCTGCACGGGTCAGGCTTATCACAGCACAGGCTGCAATCTGGATGGAAAAAGAGATCCAAAACATTGCTGGGGAAGAGGAGGACTCGTGCCCTGAGTCCTCCTGGCTTACCCAAGGTTGCAGGTGAAGTTCACTGTTGAACCAAAAGCAAAAGTGACCATTTCTTGTAGGTCAAGTCTGCCATTGTCGGGCTGCCCGGGGTGGCTGCACATCTTTGCTGGGGGATGACAGGACTGGGGTCAGTTCTTACTTCAGATTCTTGAAGAATGAGGAAAATGCAGCAGGAAAGAAGAAGACTCTCCCAGTACTGAGAAAGGGGATGGACCAGAGACCTCCAGATTTCCCCTCCAACTCTAAATTATTCTATGATTCATGATCATCATAGACAAGCTGGTTTGTGTTGGAAGGGACCTCAAAGATCATCTAGATCCAACCCCCTGCACGGGCAGGGACACCTCCCAGCAGCCCAGGCTGCTCCAAGCCCCATCCAACCTGCCCTTCAACACCCCCAGGGATGGGGCAGCCACAGCTTCCCTGGGCAACCTGGGCCAGGCTCTCACCAGCCTCACAGTGAAAAATTTCCTCCGAATGTCTGAGCTAAATCTCCCCTCTTCCAGTTTAAAACCATCCCCCCTTGTCCTCTCACAACATGATGCTGTTCAGACTTGCCTCAGGACCTGCAGCCAGACTCTGCAGTCTCCGTGGACTTTTGCAATAACTCTGGCAAGTATGAAAGCATTTCTGCATTTCTTCACAGCTAAAGGGTTCTCCTACTGCAAGTCTGAAATACTTTGTTGGAATCAAGATTAAGAAGTGCCTGAGCAGAAGAACATCCTTTGAATCAGCAAAAAGCATCAAAGCAGATTTCTTCTTCTGCCATCATTGCCAGTACTTAGTAGAATACAACTGGTGCTTCCTCTCAGGTCACTCATCTCCCACCATCCCACCAGCTCACTTTGGATACTGCTCCTACAAGATGAGCCAGTGGCATCAACGAATAAAAAACAAAATCAAAAGCCAACCCAAAATACACTCACGGATACAGATCTCCTTGGACCCGTGCCACATGTTGTTCCTTCCACAGACAAGGGTGTTTCTGACTTCAGGATTTCTCCTGTAGCCTGGACGACAGGCATATTCCACCACTGAGTTGTAGGGAAATCTGGTAGCACCTTGGTATTTCTCTTTGAGTTCTGCAGATGGGAGACGTGGCGGAGCTTGGCAGGCACCTGCAGACAGAAATTCCATCAGAAAGATGCTGGGAGGAAAAGCAGAGGGAACTCAGGCTGGATTTACTCTGAAGATCCATGCAAGGACACTTCAGTGGCCTGGAAGCTGGGAACAAAGAGAAGAGCAGCCTATGAGCAGGGATGGCTGAGGCTGGCAGGGACAGGGAGGAGCAGCATCCCGGTGATCCTGTGCTCCTCACACCTCATCCAGCAGCTTCAAAGGTTGGTCACAAAGTCCAGACTGTTTCCTTTTCCCAGTTAGCACAAATCATTGCACCTTATTCAGCTGGAATAATTTTATACCTGTCTTACACATAAAAAAAAGGCAAAAGAAGAGAGATTTACAGTGTTCTCAAAAAGCAAATACAATAAGGAAAAGAGAAGGATCCAAGTCTTGTGAACCCCAGGAGAAGGTTTTCCTTTGAGGGATCTTGGTTTATCCCAACAGACTCACTCACTTACTCTGGACAGCCACAACAAGAGCAGCAGTGAGGAGCAGCCCTAGGACAGCAGCACAGCCCCTCTGCCTCCCCAGCTCCACAGCTGCCATCTTCCCTTATTCCTGCCCAGAGATCCCACAGAAGTTACCACATTCCTTTTCCAGGCTGAATATCTGTAAAAAATACCAGAGGGGTATTAACACTCAGCATGACCATAGTTCACAAGGACAGGTCTCATTTCTCCATCCTCAAGCAGTTCCTACAGATGTGGCTGGGGAGCAGAAGCTGCAGGAGCCTTTGCAATCCCTGATCCAGAGGGGAGCAGCTCCTCTGCCAGCTCCTCTGCCCAACAGGACTGAGACCCAGCCTGGAGGAGCTGCTGGGGCAGAGCTGGGCTGGGGTGAGGGAGGTTGGCTCCAGCAGAGCACACCTAGAGGAATAAAAACACAACAGAAGCAGAACATCTGATTGCAGATATTTAACCATTCCCACAGGCTTTATCCCACCAGACTCATTTCTCTGCACTTTTTGAGAATGCAGCTTCAAGCCAGCAAGTCATTCAGGAGACTGGGTTGCTTTACAACACAGAATTTAAGTGCAATCTGGACTAACCTCACACACCTCAGGAAGGGTCCTCTCTGTTATCCAGGATCTTATTTTATAAGCCTGAACCTTCCCAATGTTACCTGTGCTCCACATGACCACCTTCCTCCTGGAAACAAGAGTATGTCCTGATGCTTTCAGCCCTAAACCAAACACTTCTCATGGCTGTTTCATTCCTCTGGCTTTCCTTCAATCCTTGTTACAGCTCTTGGTTCAACTTGATCTAATTTACTAATCTTGGTGCCTGCTAGAGTCACAAGAAAGCTCCAGCCCACTTCCCAAAAGCAAACTCACCTAAAGCTGCATGACTGAATGTTGTCCCACCTGGAGGTCTGGCAGCAGGAGACAGCAACTCAGGGTGTTGGGGTCTTGCAAGACAAAGTGATGATTGTCCCTGCCCTGTCCCCCCAGCCCCAGGCACTGCAGGGCTGAAGGAGGAGCTCTGACGTGCTGCACACCCAGATCAGAGGAAAGTTTGAATTCTGCAGAATTCTGGTGACCCATAAATCATTAACTCCTCCCCCGAGCTAGAAGGAAGTGATTTATTCAACCCACAAAGCAAAAACTAGAAAACTGAATACAACCCAAGCAGATGTTGAAATTGTTTGTTTTACAGCGTGGAGTTGCCAACTCTTTGTTGAATGACCCTTGCTGAGCAGGAGCTGCCCGTTCCAGCCTGCAGCCACAGCACCCAGCCACTGCTGGTGCCCAGGTGATGCCCAGGGACCTCAGGCACACTATAAAGGTCTGGCTTCACCCTGGGGCACATCAGCCACGAGCTCATCTCTTCTGGCCTCAAAAGCCTATAGTCAGCATTCAAAAAAAGGGCTTCTTCAGCCAGCTCCAGCTGATCCCATTAAAGCAACACCAGCTGGAGCTCAGCAGCACACGAGGTCACTGGGAGCATCACTCAGAGGTGAACACCCATGCTCAGGATGAGCAACCCAGCTGCCCTTCATCTTGTTGAAAGCTGCTCCCAAATCTGGCTGTAGCTGGTGCCTCATTGTCCAGTTAAGAGGAGCTTCAGCTGTAGTTGTAAACATTTGCTCCTCTTGCACTTTGGCTGCATGACTTCATCCAGGCTTCAATCACCACCAAGGACCTGGCAATGGCCTTTTTTACCCCAGGCTGTGCTTCTCACAGGTAGTGGTTTGTTCTGCCAAATCCGAGCTTCATTCTGCGAGGAAAATGTACCATGTCCCTGCACTGAGCAGGAGCCTTGCTGAAGTTCACCTGAATCCACACCAACATGCAATGAGACTGATCCCATTCTTGCTCAGCAGAACAGGGCCAGAGGCTGCCAGCCCTTCACCCACAGGCTGGGGCTTGCTCACAACAGGCCCCTCACCACCCCAAGCACGTACTGACCTCCCCTTAACACCTCCAGGAATCCAGTTAATCACAAACACAGGCTTTCAAGATTTCCTTCTTTTCCCAGATGATTCAGAACAAGCTGATTCCTGTGCTGAAATAAAATATCAGCAGCTTCACTGCAGGCACCCAGGAGGTTATTTACCTCCTGTGCAGGGTGCTCATGGCCAGGAGCACCAGGCAAAGCAGAGCCACCCTGACATCCAGCCCCTGCTCCAACAGCCATTAAACACCCTTGGGATCTCCCCAACCTGCAGCTTGCAGGGGAAAAACAGGATAAAAGAGGCTGACCACATCCAAGGTTTGAGGTTTTTTTCCTAGAAAAGTAACTGTCCTTTAAAAAAAGTGTCCCTACCTTACCAGCTCAGTGGAAAACCTGGAAATACGAATTCCAATAGCTCAAATAAAAACATTCTTAAAACTGATGTGGGAAGGGAACAGCAGCAGCTCCAGGGTGCAGGATTCACCATTTCCAGTTCAACTCCCTAAAGTCCTGCCCTTCCCTGCAGACCCTCCTCCTCCAAACACTTTCCACAGACCCCCTGAAATCATCATTATCACACAAACCAGCACACAATAGTTACAGCAAATAATAACTGAAAATCAACAGAGGAAAGTAGATCTATATGTTTTAAAATCTCTTTATTGTAAATAAATGCTGATGGGATATTTATGCTCAAGTGCACAGAGTACACAACACACAGCACAAGTTTACAAACATTGCATTTTCTTTTAAACCTAAAAAAAAAGGCAGTAACAGAGCAAAATTACAAGTAGACCTTAATATCCACCTCAGTAAACACTAACTGGAGGGATGCAGTTTGCAAACAGCGTTCAGAGAGAAAAAGGAGCTGCAGGAGAGGTGGAGGTGGCACTGGCAGCACTCGCCCAGCACTCTTGGGAAGATGGTTTGAGTCTTCCCCCCAAGGCAGGAGGTTCCTGGAAGTGCTGGTGGTGATGTCTGTCCTCCCAAAGCTGCTCCTCAGGCACAGCTGAGGGCTTGGCTTCCCCATCACCCCCTTGCCAGGAAGGGACACAGAGGTGGCAGCTCTAACGTCACGCTCCATGTACACAAACTCAAACTACCTGGCCTGGTTTTAAGCCTTTTCCCTCCCTTGCCAATCTCCCCCTGTTGCTGGCAGCAGAGACTGAACAGGCTTTGCCTGAGTGATCATTTTTCTCTAAAACGACCCATAGCACCGACGGGGAACCAGCCCCTGGACGGCAGCTCAGGGACAGCAGGGCAGGTCCTGTAGGTGGCCTTGCCACTGCTCAGAGCAGGTGACAGCAGCCACCACCACTTCTGCCAGCAGAAATGGAGAGAATGCCAGGAAAGTTAAAAAAACAAAACACAACCCCACTGGTGGTGCAATGCTCCCAAACAGCCAGTTCCCCACCTCCAAACCCCCCTCTGCCTGCCCTGCCCAAAAAACTTCTCTCCGGTGAGGGTGACAGAGCCCTGAGACAGGCTGCCCAGAGAGGCTGGAGATGTTCAAACCCAACTGGACACGTTCCTGTGTGATGTGCTCTGGGTGATCCTGCTCTGGCTGGGAGGCTGGACTGGATGATCTTCCCAGGTCCCTTCCAACCCCTAAGATCCTGTGATTCTGTGCTGGTGGCTCCAGCCTGATGGGCAGCACAAGCTGCTGCGGAGCCTCAGCTCAGCGTGTTGTGCAATCGTTGTTTATTCTGGGGCATTTGCACACACCATGCCAAGGATATCAGGTGATTTCAAGGAAATATCTGGCACAGGGACCCATTTGAGGCTGGGGAGATATGTGAGCTTGCTGGCATCCCCAGCCTGACCTCCCCAAGAGCTTGGCTGGGACCTGACATGTCAGGTATAATCCACCTGTGGGGCAACGATGCTGATGGCAAAACCAGCTGCTGCTCTGGACATAGAATCACAGAATCCTAGGGGTTGGAAGGGACCTCAAAAGATCACCTAGTCCAACCCCCCTGCCAGAACAGGGTCACCTAGAGTACATCACACAGGAATGCATCCAGGCGGGTTTGAATGTCTCCAGTGAAGGAGGCACGTGTTCACACCTTCTGAAAGTCAAAGTGTGGGATTAAAAGGCTCCAGTTAGGCTTTAATTAAAGAACCAAGGCACAAATATTGCCTTCTGCAGAGAGGCTCCATCCCAGGACCCACCCAGCAGGAACAGGGACCCACTGTCCATGATCCAGAACTGCAGAACTGACTGGGCACAGGGACTGAAAACATCACAACACATCAGCAGCTACATTCATCAATCCTGGCAGGTAAAAATATACAGTTTGTCTCCTTACAACCATTAACTACTCAATGATACAAATATAACTAACACCCTGGCACGTTCTCACAGCATCTTGTGCGTAAACATCCTACAGGAGGTTTCTGCTCCTCCCTCCCTGCAGAGCAGGAGGTTCCTCAGCAGGAGCAGCCGGCCCGACGTGCTGGGTTTGTGCGTTCGGAGCGTTGCTGGGGAGGGACAGACACTATCACCACACAACAGGCTACAAATCTCTTCCTTCAACGTTCTTTTTTTTTTTTTTGACCCCTTCTTTTTTTCTGTTCCCTGCTGGGAAAAAGCCTGTGGAACAAAACTAATAAAACTCAGTTTCTCACCCACTGTACTTCCACCCTCCATGGCGCAATTGCTTTAGGTCAACACACTCTCCTGTTCCACACAAATCCTCAAGGCTTGGGATTTCCCACAGACCTCTCCATCAAATTAAAGCTCTGGGAGTGTTTAAAACAACTGAGTTTGAGCCCAAAAATCCCCAGAAAAACCTCAGGCTTTGGGGCTGCTGAGCTCCTCTAGAGTCAGGGTGCCAATGTTTCTCAAGCACAGATCCCTACTGAGGGTATGGCCAATGTTTATTTACATGTTTAAAATAAGCAACTTGGATCTCAGAAGTTGCTCACATCATTTCTGGAGTCACTGGAAACAGTGGGTCCAGAACAGCCTCCTGCTTTGTACCCATTTCTTCACCCACCCTGAGAATTATGCCCTTAGTGCAAGAGGAGGAGGAGTGTGGTAAAATGGAGTTGGCCAAAACACCAGTCAAGACTGAGAGAAGAAAACCAATAATTTGGGGTATTGCTTCCACATCTTGGCACGAGCTGCACTGCAGAGGAGTTTCACTGTCTATGCACTAAATACTAAAGCAGCTTAAACTCTATTAAAGGCAGCATTATACATCAGTAACATTCACAGCTTATTCCTAGGCAGGTTTAAAAACTTGTTGTGGGGCCTAACATTTGGCACATTAAAAAGACAACTGGTAAAAATCATCTGCTTCTTGCAATCCCTGCACACACAGCCCCCCTGCTCCCAAACACTGAGCAAAGCCATGCTCTGAGTTTCTGTTGTCATGGATAAAAGCATCCACAAAACCCAGGAAAAATAAGCATGAGGATGAGGCTTAGGTGAGGGTGCAAAGCTGAAGCAGGACTTGAGTTCAAGTGCAACAGCACTGGCAGCTACACTGCTGCTAGCATAGGAGCTTTTATTTCCTTAAATAACAATAACTGCATTTGAACTTGGAAATGGCAACAGTTAAATAAAAACCTGGGGTTTGGTCTGATACCCATCTTGTCCTCACAGACCCTGCAGTTAATTTTGCCACAACACAGGACACTAACACCTCACAAAGCCCACAGAAGGGATATATCAGCTCACATGTACTAAAAAAGCAGGTTGGAAAATCTCCCTAATTGATTTTCTCTAATCTCATTGACAGACACTTCAGCATTCAGAAAGAAAAGACACAGACAGAGCCTAAAAACACATTTCAGAGGAGAGGACTGGGCGAGGGGCGCGTGGCTCACTGTGCTCCGAGGGTGTTCGAGTCCTGTCCACAGGGCTCTTCCCAGCATGGAAATCCCAGATGACAGCACCAGCCTCTACACCATTAGAGTGGCCATCCTCTGCAAACGAGAGAGAAATGGAACAGGTTATACCCAGGGGAAGGCAGGAGGTGCTAGAGCAGGGGACAGCAGTGCTGGGGACACACGCTTGGCAGCAGCCAAGGAGGATCCAACCAGCTCCATAACTGCTCTGTGTGACAGTAACCACCTGAGGATTGACTTATTCACTGCTAACTGAGCAAATAATGAGCTGCTTCACTTCTGCACTGTCCTTCAGCCTCTCACAAAGCTCCACACGAAGGTTTCCCAGTATCAGGCTGAGGCCACTCAAGCCCAGCTTTACCAGGGCATCTCCCAGGCAATAACAAAGCAGGCTGGTTACTCAGGGTTACTTACTTTTATTTATCTTCTCCATAGGAAAGTACACTTCCAGGACAAACATATAAAACTTTACAGTAACCACTTTGCATATTAACAATAATAAACACTTCTAGCTTTGATAAAACTCATTCCATTGCCTCCCCAAGGGTCCAACAGATGACAGGGGCACACTCAGGTCAGTACAAGTGAATTATATATTTACAAACACACCAGAATTTCCCACAGCTGATGGTCCTGCAAGATCTCAGGACACAGAAACAACATTCAATTTGTCTTGTTGCCTAACCAGCACTGTTTTGCAACAAAAAAAATGGCACAGTTATGGAGCCAGTTTGCTGACAATGAACAGCAGGCATCAGCATTTACAATCCAAGTCAGGAAATTCTATTTGCAATTAAAATAAAAATAAATACTTATAGCTTTCCTGAGAATGAAACTTAAAAAGTAACAATCATCAGGGAGAGGCAATCCCTAAGAGCTGCTCACATGCTAATTTCTCAAGAAAAACAGCAGTACTAAGAAGGAAGAAGGTTGGTACTGGAATCAAGGAAGTTGGACCAAGTTATCTTAATTTATTTGCAAACCCTCCTCCAAAGTCTGTGTTATTTGTTTAAACATGGGGGGAAAAAAACACTTGAAGCACAGCATTAAAAAAAGTGATTTTGCAAAGCTGGCATATACATTCATTTCCTAAACACACAGCCCCTGCCAGCTCAGAGCAAAGGAAAAGCCAAAGGGGCAGGGTTTGGTTTTTAGCCTGTGGATAATTTTCTTGTGATTTGATCCTAAATCAATACAACTCAGTTACAGGTACAAGGTTTTATCAGATTTATGACAAGCTCCTCCAGCTCAGCTTCCTTCTCCTTTTCCCCTCCTCTTCAACATTAAGGCCTCAGAAGCCCCAGGGGATGGGTGAGTTGAGGAGCAACGTGCCCTGGTTGCACTGGTGGGACTGTTCCCCAGCCATCCTGAGATGCAGCACAGTGATATCCCAGGGCCAGGCTTTCTGCTCCTCTGCAGGACAGTCACATGCAAAAACTCTGTGGCATTCTTTAAAATGCCATCACAAACCAGAGAATGGGAGACAAAGGTGTGTAACTTCAGGATCAGTCTTGGACCTCGTGTCCTACAACATGTGTGCAAACACCAGGGATGGAGAAGAGCAGAGCAGTCACATCGGGAACATTGTTGGAAGAAGAGCTTCACTCCAAGGACAGAGTGCAATTACAGTGATGAACTCTGCATCCAAGGGGCCAAATACATTCAAGGAGGAGTTTCCCAGGCCTGGAGGAATGCTGCCTGGGCAGTGGCAGGAGCTGCACCTCCTGTGAGCTGCATCCCATGGCAGCAAGCCCCGTGCCCCACAGCTGTGGGACCACCCTGCTGCAGGGGAATGGGCCAAGCCCTCACCCAGCCTGAACCCCAACACCTGACAATCAGGGAGCAGATCTCTGCTGAGAGCAGGAGCAGGTCAAAACCAACCCTGGCAGCCCCTGCGCAGCCACCTGGAGCCTCCCAGGACACAGCTTGTGTCCCCTCTGAGCCCACCTGCAGGCACCACCACCCCTGTGCTCCCAAGGGCAGGTGGTGGAACCCCACGCAGGGCCCTGGGGTGCAATACAGCCAGGCCCCCCTAGATGGAGCAACTAAATGGCAAAAAACGCCTGTTACAAGACAAAAAAAAATCATCAGCGATGCACGTGCTGAACGAGGTGAAACAGCAGCTGAGCCAAGCGAGGGGCCACAAGGGTGGGTCTGGCACAGCCAGAAGCTGAGCAGGGCACAGGGAGCAGGGGGAGCCAGGGCAGCTCCAGCCTTCCTGCAGGGCAGCAGCCCAGGTCTCAGCCCAGCCTTCCCTCAGAGGCCGGGGGGGCAGGGCAGGTCTCATGGGTGATGCTGGGTGCTGGCTCCCTGGAGAGAGGGACAGACAAGGACACATTCCTCCCTTAGGGTGGGAGGAAGACCATCCTGCTCTCTTCACCCACATTCAAAGATGCCTCCAAAGAGACATGACAGTGAGGACTTGGTGACAACTGCCACCAACACCGAGAGGTTTATCCACCAGCTGCTCTCCCAGCACATACTAAACCCATCCAGCTCCCCTCTGGGGAGCAGGGGCTGAGCAGCTCTGCTCCCACCCAGGCTGTGACCCAACAACTCCTGCAAAATCCCTGTGATAATTATTGTCACCACAATCTGTCCCAGAAGGAGCAGAGACACACGTGGGACCTGCCCAGTATGAGCTCTGCCAGCAGTGCCAGCACAGGGCACTCCCACAGCCCAAGATGCAGCAAGCTCAGGGTAAAACACACTTGCAGGCAGCACAAGCACGATGCTCCAGTAAGCCCAGTTTGATCAGTGGGCTCAGCCTAGTAACATGTTCCTCCCCCACTGAGGTGGCCCTTAGTGACAGGTTATTACACAGCAAAAGACTCCCTTCTGCCCCACTTGTGTGGCCTCCCCAGAGCAGTTCCCATGCAACATTCACCAGGAGAAGTCCTACTTACTAAACGGACAGAGAGTACATACAAGCTGCTTTCAGTGGTACTCACAGGCAAGCATTTCCCCCTTGAGGCTGCAAAGGAAAAAGAAAACAGCACAGGATAGCTCATAGTGCATCTTAAAGGAGATTTAAGAGTAACAGCAAAAGCAGCAAAGCAAATGAGGAGAGAAGAGGAGCAACCCCACGATGCCACGTTGGGGAGCTCAGGGCGGGTTTGTGTCACAGCAGAGCTGATACAAGGCACTGACCATCATGTGCCTCCACTGCCACTCATCTCAGGGACTCCATCCAGGCAAGAGGTCCCAGGGCAGCACCATTCCCTCCCCCTGCACACACCCAGGGCCCCAGGGATTAAACACTCCTTCTGAGCTGTCAGTGCTTCAACATCATGATTCTGGAGAGTAAAACAGCCAACAGGCAGTGGGTGGGGATGCCCATCCTGCACTGCCCAGCTAGAGACACCCACAAATCCAGACATGGGGACAGTCAGGGCCCTCTGTGGGCCAAACCCACTCAGGGCAAAGTCTGGTTTGGTTCAGTTCCCTCCAGAGCCCCAGGATTTTGGGAATGTTTAAATCTCATGTTCTTCACTGAACATGGAAACAGCATCAGTGTTCACCTGTGCTGCATCACCCCCTCCTTCACTCTCTAGCCACTTCCTTGGCTAACAGGGAGGAGAACAAGAAGTTGGGCTCACAAATATCTGAGATGATTTTATCTTTAAACAGCTTTGGTAAGGATGGCTGTTTCTGCACGAGGAGCCCAGCCAAGCCCTCACATCTCCCCCCTGCCCGGTCTGACAGGCAGCAGCACCCTCAGCTGCGCCTCCCCAGGCAAAGAAAAACTCCTCATCCAGCAGAGAAACAACTTTAAGTGAGAAAAAAAACAATCAGGGCTTTGCCTCCAATGCTGATGAGGACCTACGTGCTCCTAAGGTTAAAACCACCAAGCACCAGAAGCCAAACTGCTTTAATTTGGGCACCCAAAGAGCCCACTGACCCGCTGAACGTGGGAAAAAGGGCACCAACAAAACCAAGGACAGATTTCCAACCCAGCTGCTCTGGGGTTAGAGCAACACTTCCCTACAGCACCAAATAAGGGCAAATAGGGTATTTGTAACTCTTTCCAACCAGGGGTTTGCTGGAAAGCAAGATATGACCCACCAACTGGGTGACCAGTTGGTCACCCTACCAAAACCCTGATGGAAACCTGCCTGCACAGAGCCTGAGTTTTAACATCCTCTGGCACCACAAGTTTTTGGGGAGGTTTTTGTGAGGTTTTTCCTTTCTCAAGTTGGTATAACCCTGAATGATTTTCACACAGAAACAGAGATAGTGATTAAAGCCCTAGGAAGGGTCTGTGTGTCAGAGAGGACCACGGGACAGCCATGGGTGATGGTGGGGAGGGGGAGCATAGGGAAAGTACCACCTGGACACCGACTTGTAGCTGCTGCTGGTCGGCCCCATCTCGAGCTTCCAGGGCCAGGAAAGGTCCCAGTGGGTCGAGAGGTTTGCTCCCAAGGCTGTAATGTCGAGGGCGCTTTACCGTGTCCGCGCTGGCCCGCGGCGTAAAGCTGTTCCTTCTCATCCTTACAGGGGTTTGGCTGGTGGGAAACTTGTCCTGATCCCAGATGGAGGGTATCACAAGGAATGAGAAGGGGAACCACAGTTTAAAACCACAGTTTAGAGCCCCAGCACACAGCTCCAGTGTCGCATCCCCTCCCCTCTAGGAGCTCCCTTTGGTGAATCCCACACTGGAACCACCACTCTGTGCCTCCCCCAGCTGAGCAGCAGCAGTGGGAAATGACTCCCTCTGCCAGCTCAGCTGGCTCAAAGTCCACTGAAAAAGTCTGCCTTTCCAGCAGTTCTACTTCCCTTTGGGATATTCTTGCTTAGGTGGTTTTGTCTGGGCTGGTTGTTTGTTTTTTTCAATTTTCTTCTTTTTCTCCCCGCAATCAGCTCGGGGAAGGGGAGGGGGAGGAATGTAAGCAAATGGAAAACTACCCCTCCTTTTTGTTTTTTCTTCCCTAAAGCAGCCACATTTCCCAAGTAAAGCAAAGAACAGAAACAGCCTCTGACTCCTCCAAGTGGACAGCAATGATTCAACACTGCATCAAGTCACAAAGCAATAAATGCCCAACCGGAAACTACCAAAACAGGACCAGCCACAAAGATCTTGCCAAATATCCTCAGTTTAGCATTTTGCAGTCCATTTAGCTCCACAAACCCTCCAGCCACGGCTGCAGGTTCCTGGTTTCCCCATCCCTTGTTTCTGGTCCTTCAGCACACAGACTTGGACAGAACAATAACCCAGGCAATCAGCCAACAGCTCTTTATAAAATAAAAAGGGGCAGCTAAAAGCCTAAATGTACCAAAAGAGCTTAAAATGTGATGCTCTTGAGATTTGCCATCAGCTGGGAACATGGAGGGTCAGTTTGTGGTCTTCAATTGGAGGAGTTAATTGCTGGCAATTGCTCCAACAGATCAGCTCCCTCTGCAAAACTGTGTTTGCAGAAGGGAGCATCTGAAACAGCAGCAACTGCCACAGATTTAGCACAGAGTTGTGTGCTTTGCTGTACAAGGTGGAAGGCCAAGCAGTTATTTAAGTCATGGGAGAGATTAGATTTCACAGAGTGGTTGGACACTGGAACAAGCTGCCCAGGGAGGTGGTGGAGTCACCATCCCTGATGAAGGTTGAAGGGTTGTTTGGATGTGGTGTTGGTGGAGATAGTTTAGGGGAGAACTTTGTTGAGGAGGGATGATGGTTGGACTCAGTGACCCCAAGGGGCTTTTCCAACCTGAATAGTTTAAAATATTTTTTAAAATACACCAAAAAAAAACGTTTGAAGTGTTTCCATCACTGCTGGAAGATGCCCAGTGCCAAGGAGATAAACTGGACCTATCTCCTCCTGCTCCAATACATACAAAATTTAGGAACACCTTGGCCTTGCCCTGCCCTGAATACTTGGTACAGGAAATCTGCAGAGACATGGGAAAAAGCTCCAACTCTTCCCCAGCACAGCCCCCCAGAGGGCTGCAAATGCTGCCAGCCCAGCCCAGCCTTACCCCTCTAGGCAGCTTAGAAACAGAAAGCTCATCAAGACAATGAGAAAAATTCACTTTAAACGTTTTGGCAAGACTTTTTGAAGTTACTGCAATTCATGCAGATGAGCATGAACAACAAATACTTTGCTGTAAACTGAGAACCAGACCTGGAATTTAAATGTCTAACCTAAACTCATCCATTCTGCTTCCTCAGCTCTGAAAAACATCCCCCCTGGCCTGGGAAGAACATTAACCCAGCCTACAATTCATTCTGCTTTGGGGGATTATTTTGGAAGCAAGTCCTTCTGGCCACAGAAAGCAAATGTCCACTCCTAGCAGGTATCTCAGAGTGTTTCACTTCAGGTGCTTCTTTTTGGAGATGGAAAAAGGCAGCAAGACTTACTGAGTTCAGGGAGGGTTTGTCACGGTGGGTGTTCACTGCTTCCACGTTCAGGGTAATGGTCTCCACTTTACAACCTTCACCCAAAAGATAGAGAAGTTTTATATGAGAAAGGGCAATTCATTAAATTACTGATTTCATAGAATCGTAGAATGATGAAGGTTGGAAGGGACCTTAAAGACCATCAGGTTCCAACCACCTTGCTATGAGCAGGGACACCAAACCAGGCTGCACAAGCCTCATCCAACCTGCCCTTGAACACTTCCAGGGAGGGGAGGCATCTATTTATTTATAATATTGAGAACAGCAGGGAAAGCAAGCAGGAATACAGTTGTTATTTTTTATTTTGTAAAAATAAAACAGCTCATAAACAAAGAGTTAACCTTATTATAGGAATTTTATGTTTTAGCTGCTTTGACCTCCCCTGCAGCAGAGCAGCCCTGGGCTGTACAGACCACAGGTCTCTACAGACAATCCATTTTTAACTGCATCCCAGGGCCAAATCCAAGTTTGGAAGCACAGATGGGCTTCATCAACAGGTAAAATCCAAAACTGTCACAGGTTCAAGAGAGGCCCCAGGAAAACACCCCCCCACACCTCCTCTCCCACTGTCCCCAAAACCTTCACACTCTCCTGTACTGTATTTCAATATACATTCAAAATATTTCCATCAAGACTGGCTGCTGGCACACACAGACACAAACTTGCATCAAACTCACTCACACAAACCAGGGGGGAAATCAAGAAGTGCAGACACTATTTACCGTAGGCAACAGGGGTGAGCTTGAGGATGGTGTGGAGGGGGCAGCGCAGGTAGGGCAGCTCATCTAGGGCAGAGACAGGTGTCAAGGGACCCTTTCCACAGCAACCATGGGACACCAACCACCCTGTACCCTCCCCAGACCCCCTCTTCCCTTCCCAGCCCTGGGGCAGCAGGATGGGCCCATCCCCCTATTGCCAACCACAGAAACCAGCAGCACGTGGGTGGGAAGCAGCAAGAGCTGCCATGGACCCAAGCAAGTTTTATTTCAAATTTTAGTGAAAGCTTATTAATTTTATTAGAACTTTTATTAACCTCCAGTACCACCCACTGGAGTTTAAGAAAGGAGCCTGCAGCAGACTGGAATCACTTCCAGGCCATGCCAGGAGAGGGATCAGATACAGCACTACAGCCAACCCTACTGATGCACCAGAAAATGTTTTCTTTACTTTTAAAAAAATAAACCCTTCAAAGATTATGTAAATTCTGCTGGATAAACAGCTGCAGAAGCAACAGCTGAACAGAAAACCAGGAGCACATGCATCTGCACCTCTCCCAAAGAGAGCTCCTTGCTAAGCTCCACACTCCACTGAAATGCAATAGTTAAAATATTACAGAAATGTGGGTTTTTTTCTTTTTTAAGCAGCTCTTCCGCTGTGAAAAATCAAAACAGCAATTACAAGCCACCCTCCCAAAAGCTCTGCAAAGGAAGCAGTCAGAGAAGCCAGCCCCAAACATCAGACATTTATTTTTGTACCTGCATTCTTGTCAAGAAAATAAGCCAACAGACACCTCATAACCGCCTGGTGGGAGATGACCAGGACGTTGCCTTGCCGCTCCAGCTCCATAATTACTGGCTCCAGGCGCTGGACCAAGTCCTGGTAGGACTGGAAAACAACACAGGAATTTTTCAAGGAGTTTGTAAACAGAGGCTTGAAGCAGAAGTAGCAATTAACACAGCTTCACCTTCAGGAAAATAACCCTTAAAGTCACGGCTGATCCGGTAAACAGAGGCAAAAAAGCAAACAGCAGAAGGTGAATTTAGTGTCACCAGCCCCCAGATTAGAGGAGGATTCAGATTACTGGTAACTCTTGAGGAGTGCAGTAAAAACCAAATAAAATAGTAAATTATACACTTCAACAAGGCTGTGAAGTAAAACCAGAAATGACTTCATACCACACCCACAACTATTTTCTTTCCAAGATGTTGTGGGTTTTTTTTTTTCATAGTGACAACTCCAGGCTTGGCCAAACAAGCACAATGAAGAAACCTCTCTGGGTGGGAGGGGAGCATCAATGGACTTGGCAACTGGCCCAATTAATATGATTGAAAGGCATCATTTGCACACCACAATAAAGGAAATCAATAAACCTTTCCTCTAAGGGAGGATCGAGGATCCAAACGTTTTCAGTTTCTCATATCAATATTGGCAAAAATAGCTAAAATTAAACAAAGTCCTTCAATTCTACACATAAGCATTTGTTTTACCTAAACTATGTTTTATTGTTATTACTTAAGGATCTTCACCTCTCCTCCAGGATAACGATACAGGTATTTCTCTTGATCCCTCAAGGCAAACTCATCTGGATACTTGGCTTCAATTTCTGCATAGGTCATTTCTTCACATACCCCCTGAAAGGGAAGAAGACCTTGTTACACCACACTTAGTTTCAACAGAGGTTGAATTATGCACAAAAAGCAAGTGGCTGAGATCAGCAATCCCTCTATTTAGGATTTTTTGTGGATCATATCATTAGGGATATTTTAGGTATCATATCTGGCACACCTAGACACTCAGCATCCGTGCACTGCTCATCCAGTAACCTTTGTCCAACCCAGTATGGCATAACAATATCTGGGATGTGCAGTGTTCTCTTCTTTCTCCAGACCAGCTGGATACACTCACAGCAAGGTCTGGCAGCTCCAGGCATTGCCAGCCCTGTCCCAAACCATCCCAAACCTCATGGTGATGGCCAGAGCACATTAAACAAGGACATGGGTATAAATGAAGAGGCAACAGTCAGGTTTACCATGATAATTTGGTTTTAAACATGATTTGCCATCTAGAAAAGCTAAAGGATTCAATCAGCTTTTCACTCACAGCATCAATCTCGTTGAGAATCTTCCACTGCTCGTAGGTGACCCCCAGGGACTCGGCCGTCTGGATCGTCCTCTTCAGCTGGCTGGTCCACACCTTCAGATCTACTATTTCCTGCTCCTCGATGAACTTCTTCAGCGCCTGAGCAAACTGCAGAAACCAAAAACAAGTCAAGGGGAGGTTAGGAGGGAACAGGAGCTGCTGCCATTGTTAAAAGCATCGTTTGAAGGGCTGTGGTGGCAAGATCCAGCTGCAGGGCTGCCCCTGGTAGGGGCAGGAGGCAGAGCCCGGCTCTGGGCCTGCTCACACCTTCACCAACCCAGCAAACCCGGGTGCTGCCAAACACGTACCTGCTTCCCACGTGGTGACAGACCAGAATCCCCACCAATCTTGCCAACAAGATTATATTCACTCTCACCATGTCGGCAAAGGTAGATGGTGCGTGGCTGGACATGAATGTTCATTAGGTAATAGACGATTTTACTCTGGATGTAATCCTGGACTCTGTTTACTAGGAACCGCTGTCCCACATTGATCACTTTAATGAAGGAAAGATCTCTGGAGTCAACATAAGATAAGAACACCCACAGGACTGGTTTTAAAAATGAAGCACGTGCATCTGCGGGTGTAATCTAGCTATGCATCCCCTAGTAAAGGGATGAGCACTACCACTGGGTTGCTGCAGCAGACAGAAGAGACCCTGAACTGCAGTGCTTACAGAAGGAGCTGCACTGCACTGCAGCACCCTGGAGAAAAATCCTTTCAAATCACTTGGGAGCTGAGGGTATCACCTTCCCACCAGCAATGGCACTTTGGGGGAGCAGAGGCTGCAGCAGACGCCTTGCAGCATCCTGAGCCAGAGAACAGCAGCAACACAGCAAAGCAGCTCGTGTGTGCAAGGACAAGTGCACCCCAGGGCTTTGCTTACTTGTCATAGGCATCGGGATCAAGAGGCTGGTAAGTGACCTTGTAGCACTCAATCCTCTTCAGGAAATCATCCATCACGTTCTCCCTGTTCCTCTCAGGATAGTCAGGGCTGGAAACTTTCACCTCCTGATCAACAGACAGCCACACTTTGTGAGAGCAAAGCAAACTCGGCACAGAGCAAAAGCAACACTGAATAACATTATTCTACCCTTTTGAAACAAATGAGCATTGTCTAATGCTGCCCTGTGGAAAAACCTGCTCCTGGAGAGGAAACAAGGGCAACTCTGAAGGCGCTGGAGTGCTTGGCCCTGGGACAGACACAGCTGGCTCTGCTAGCTGTCCCTGCAAGCCACTCACTGCCTGCCTTCCCTTCACCAGAAAACACGCTTCAAGGTCAAACATTTCTCAGCTTCATTTGATTTCCACGTTCTCACATAACTAACTGCCATCTTTAGCTTTGATAAAGCTGCAAACTTAGCTGCTTATTTCCAAGGTGAAACACAAGAACACAGGCATTTGCCAGCATTGCTGTAAACCACCATAGCTGGTGACCTTGCACTGAGCACCCCAGATCTCATGGAAAGCTCTGGCAACTGAGTCTGGAAAACGTGGCACATACCAGGATATTGGCAGCAATGACTTCTGGATCGTCACAGACGGACTCCACAAAAAACACCTACAAAGAAGACAAGGAAGTGTGTTTCAGAGAGTTAAGAACTCTGTCCTGACTCAAGAGACAAGAGCTCCTGCCCAGGAGCAGGCAGGGCCCGTGGTGTAGCCCCACTGCACCCCCAGCAAAGCAGCACTACCTTGAAAGCATTTTCTTTTGCAAAATTTAAGATCAAGTCCCGTCTTTCTCGAGTCGTGTTGGTCGCATCAAACACCTGCCAGAAAATTAATATGTAGCAACGAGTAAGCCTCTCTGAAGCTTTCAAATCAGCCCCAAAATCATCTGGGACTACCATCAGGTCCCCAGATGCCCTGGGTGGCTTTGAACTACCCGGACACAACACCATATCTGTTCCAGAGAAGCCTTACAGCAATCTGCCCGCACTCCTCCAGGAGATAAGCCTTCACGTCTTCTAGAGCCACCAAGGCACATTGTCTGTGGGACAGAAACGGGGGCTATCAGGGGCAACATGAAGTACAAAACACCTTCCCTCCCTGCCCAGGAGGCACCCACCCCTGCACCCTCCCAGGAGACCTGAAGGCATCTGTGCCCATAGCCTGCTCCAGGCGCTGGCAGCCCCCGCGCTTTGTGACAGCCTCAAGACAGTGACAAACCTCCCAGGCAGGATCCCTGCACAGGCTGTGCTACCTCCTCCCCCAGTTTCACGGCCATTCTGTGCCTCCTCAAAGGCAGAGCCTGCCAAGAGCTGAGCCCACCCAGCCCACCGGGCCGGGTCCAGCCCCCGGACAGCGACTCACTTGCGGATTTCCATGGCTTCCTTGTTGTCGTGCCTGAAGAAGTCGTAGGACTTGTAAGACTTCACCGCTTCCCGGCGATACACCCCTAAGTTAAACACTTCACACACAAGAGAGGAGCGTGTGAGACCCAGGACGTCTCACAGACAGACCTCAGGGTGCTCCCCAGCCCAGGGCAGAGCCACCCCCCAAACACACACACACCTTTGGTGGGCACCCCGATCCAGTTGAGGTACCGGGTCAGCTTCTTGGACACGTAGGTCTTGCCGCGGGCGGGCAGGCCGATCATCACGATCAGCGTCGGGGAGTTGGTCATGTAGGAAGCCCAGGCTGCAGGGAACAACCTCCCCCCCCACACACCTTTGGTGGGCACCCCGATCCAGTTGAGGTACCGGGTCAGCTTCTTGGACACGTAGGTCTTGCCGCGGGCGGGCAGGCCGATCATCACGATCAGCGTCGGGGAGTTGGTCATGTAGGAAGCCCAGGCTGCAGGGAACAACCACCCCCCGGAGCATCAGCAGCACCTCCCGGCCAGCC